ACTGGTACAGATAGGAACTGGAAACACAGGGAATCCAGGGCGGATGATCCCTCCAGGACCAGTGTTAAGAGTGGCGATACCAGTGGGAGGGTAGAAGGAGGGCGGGGTGGAAAGGGGGAACTGATGACAAGGATCTACATATAACCTCCTCCCTTGGGGACAGATAACAGAAAAGTGGGTGAAGGGAGATGTCAGACAGTGTAAGATGTGACAAAATAATAATTTATAAATTATCAAGGGTTCATGAGGGAGGGGGAAGCAGGGAAGGAGGGGGGAAAATGAGGAGCTGATGCCAGGGGCTTACGTGGAGAGCAAATATTATGAGACGGATGAGGGCAATGAATATACAAATGTGCTTTACACAATTGATGTATGTATGGATTGTGATAAGAGTTGTATGAGCCCCTAAGAAAAGATTTATATTAAAAAAATAGCATCCAAATAAAGCTTGGGGCTTCTTTCCCAAAATTCATTCGCTGGGTCTCAGAACGATTTTCTTACAGTGAGGCAGAATGACTTCCGAGAGAAGGCTGAAAACTTTTACTGTGGAAATTCCCCATAAGGCTGATATCTTTATATCCTCTCTATCCACTTCCCTTCACTTTGGTTTTAGTTATTATCTTTTGATAAAGTGTTGTAAGATGACTTACTGTCCTTTTGACTGAAATCGCACCTGTGAAGTCCAGATGTTGGCTGGTGGGAGTTAGCCGTGCAGTCTCCTGTCTTTACACGATAGTCACCGAAAATTAAATCCCTCCTCTGCTCCTCCATCCCTCCAATTACGGATTTAGTTAAAAAGCTGAGCAGTGTGTTCAGTCTTCAAGAGTGGGCTTCTCTGAACCTTGCAAGCCGCCGTGTGGATATTGATAAGCGTTGATTGCAGAGCTCACAATGCAGGCGAAACAGGAAGCAGCTCTTGCCTGGGTAGGATGCTCCAGTCGCCCCCCACTCGGAGGGAACGCTTTTCAGCTGACTGAAGCAGGGAAGCCGAGCCAATCAGAGGTCGCTTTCCTAGCTCAGTCACCAGTCTGTGGTTGAGGAAGGGTTTTCTTTTTATGCTCCGTATTGGGAAGGCAGATAAAATGCCAGGGCTGGACTGCCTCTGGGGATAACCTCACCCCCCTGTGATGTGAATGAATCCACAGGACTTGATAAGGCAGGCGCAGTTCCTCCCAACAAGCCTTTTCTGTCTTTGACTCTAGCTGTGGTTTCTGTAGCAATTTTGGTTTTGCCTTGGAAAGAGGCACTCTGGATTATCAGACCTCCATGTATGACAATTTGTACCTGCATGGAATTGAAGACTCGGAGGCTGTAAGTATTTTCATAGATAGCAGATTCCCTCTCCCCTCCCTTTCCTCCTCCCACTGCATGACCCCCGCCCCCCCACCTTCTTATTTCTTAGGCAACGCAGGGGACACGGAGCTGGAAGCCAGCATCATTCGGGGGCTGGCTGGCTGCTGTGTACATGCTCTGTGTGTAGTTTATAGTTACCTGAGCTAATTCTTTATTACATAATTTTTTGTCAAAAAGAAAAGAAATTGGAATGAGAGCAAGGGCATCGAAGTGTTGGAAGTAAACGTTACCCGGTCCACGTTTCATTCCATAAGGGGTAACTTGCTCCTGGTAGATGGATTTAAACTAGGCAGAAAGTGCCCGTGTTTTCTGACAGCGGGGTTCATAGCAGAGACTCATTCATTATATAATACTCATTGTTTATCAAAGTAACATGAATGGAAGTTCCTAAGCTGTAGCTGTATTATGTTCTTTCTGGCCAGACAACCAGGGCAGCTTCTTTGTTAAGGAAATTAGATGCAAGGCTGGTGGCTGATACAACCCTCCAGTGCCCCATCACAGAAGCAGTGGGGGGTGTTCCTGTACTCTGCCCTGGGCCGCTGAAGCAGCTCTCGTGTGTTTGGGGCTCAGGAAACTGAATACCTTTCCCTCATCGGTCAGGCTCAGTCTGTTACATTCAGGGTGAAAATGGTTTTCTGCAATCCCTGATTGTTGGTTCTGAATCCCCCTCAAGATGCCCAAATCTGTCCTTTTCTACTATTGCTGGGGGTAGTTTGCGATTTTTCATCAATCACATAGCAACCTTGTGGGATAGGACGACTGGGGGCGGAGAGCAGGGTGTGCCCGGGGGAGTCTAAATTTTATATGAGTGTTGTGCCATACATGTTGCTACGTTCAAAACAGAAATGTGTTATATAAGGCTTTCTGGTGAAACCACCCAATAAACAGATCATAACCCAAAATACAAAACAGAAAACAACCCCTCCTCCCCCAACCAACACCCCCACTTCTCCAAAATAAACTATGGTATACGTCAATGCAGACGTAGGTATCAAATGATGTGCTACTCATGAGAGAGAAAAATCCTCAGTTCTGATAAGGCATTCCATTTTCCCTTCCTGTCTGTGTGTTAGTCAGCTCCAACTCTGTTTCTGCAAAGTCTCCCTGCATGTTGCCCAGCGTGTTTGTAGACCATCAGGCTGTCAGTTCAGTTCTAGGGAGTGTAGTCTGAAATGCTGTCTGCTGAAGTCTGGGAGGGACAAACTGACAAGGAGGGTAGTGGTGGGTAGGTGGGAATGGAAAACCCAAGTCCAGTTCAGAAAACTAGCTTCCTTCCCCCGGCTGGCTGGGTTCTTCAGGAGGCCCGGCTGTGACCTGGACTTCCCTCCACACTCAGTTATGAAACATAGGATGCCTTCTTGAATTGCCAGTTTCATTTTCAGCCCTTCGTTTTTAAACTTGGACCATGTCCGGGGGCCTCAGTGGTCTCAGAGTGATCTTGGAAATCTAGGAACCAGCTGCCTGTGAACAGAGTTGGCTAGGAACGAATGTACCAGCTCCTGTTCTCCAGAACTGTGTAAATTGTGGGTGCACTGGTTCAGACGGGAACCATTATAAGTAGGAAAACATCCTCCCCCACTTTTTTTTGGTCCAGCTTCCGAGGACAGCTGAGTTGTGTCCGCAGGGTGGGAAATGGGGAGTGCAGTGACTTCACGTAGTCTCAGCTGTCGAGTGTCGGCGGTGCTAGGTACTGCAGCGCTGGCCTCTTGTGAGTCAGGGGTGGCCAGCAGTCTGAGCTCCCTGGGTTGTGTGCACATCTGCGGAGGTGAGGACGGGGAAACCTGAGGAATGGAGAAAGGCAACTGGCTCGCCCTCAGTCAGCTGAGAGCACGGGAGGCTTTTAGAAGGGCGGAGATGGAAACTGGGTCTTCAATCAGAGGGGAAGACAGGGGTGCTCAGAGGGATGAACTGTCTCTGAATGCTCATTCGAGTTTATTTGTTTTTATAAGGAAGAATAATGTGATGTGTTACCCAAGATGGTGTGAACAGAGCTTCAAGCCAATGGAGAAGACTAGGCCTAAATAGCTGACCCGGTGAAGTGGAAAGTAAAGCCACACCTGGAGTCTGCCCTCCTCAGCCCTCATTCTCAGTGCCAATGCATAGATGGCTGTAAGTGTGGGGGGTGCCCAGATGGAAGCAAAGCGCTCGGACAGGTCTGGTGGATAGGCGTGGAGAGAGGCTTTTCTCAGGTGGTCAGCTGCAGCTGAGACTATACAGTACAGGCACTAAAAGCTGAGTACGGCACTTCCTTCGGGGTGGGGGTGGGGAGGTTGGGGAGCCATCTGCATCTGTCCTACTACTCTGTGCTGTTGACGGTATCTTTGTGGGGTGTGTGTGGTTGAACGTGTGATAAGTAATTATGTCCAATATGTTCACACAGTCAACTTGTAACAGGATCAACTCACCTAGGGACTGAAAGATACCCTTTTCTGAGCATTTACACACTGTGAGTGCCTCACATCCCCGCAGTATAACAGAGAGCCGGGGACTGAGGTGAGATTTGTGTAGCGTCTTGATCCAAGATGTTATCCCCATGCCCTAGATTGTCGTTTCTACAGAATGCACATGTAGAGACAGGGGGATGAGAAGCCTTCTGGAATACATCTGAGTCTGGGCATTTCAGGTGTTTGGGGCCTATGGAGACCCTTTGGACAAGTCTGTTAACTTTCCCCTGGGTTTCGAGGATGGTAGCTATGAATCAAGGAGCCCTGGGGACATAGTGGATTATGAATTAGGCTGCTAACCGCAAGGTCAGCCCTTTGAGGCCACAGCTCCCCCGCAGGAGAAGGATGAGGCTTTCTGCTCCTGTTAAGAATCACAGCCTTGGAAACCCACAGGGGCCGTTTCACTTGGCCCTATAGGATCTCTGTTACTCAGAACTGACTCCACTTGAGTGAGCTAAGCCTCAAGATTATTCAGAACTGGCAGGAAGTACTAAGATCATGATAAGGAGACCAGACGTCCCGCTTTTGGCGGACAGTCCCGATTTTTAACAATTTTTCCCATGTCCCGCGGCATTTTTAAAAAGTTCCGATTTTTGGCAGGAATGCACGACAAGCTAGGGTATACGGGTTTTCGGCTGCCATGTGGCTATTTCGCCAGGATATGAGTTTTATCAATGGTAACCCACTTTACCAGTGTTAAAATCTGGTCACCTTAATCATGTAGCACTCCCACAGCAAGGCAAAGCGCAGGATGGGCAGCTTCCTGCAGGATGGCCACTACCTGTGCTTCTCGCGAGTTACCTTTAGTAGATCAAGAGGCCGTGCTCCCAGGTGAGCCCAGCCCTACACACAGGTTCTAACCATGATGTCTTCCTGTATGAACACTCGTCTGTTCCTGGTTCATGGCCGCCAGGTCCTGGTTGCCACAATGTTTGTGGTCAAGCGAGCTCCCAGTGCCCACTCCGCACTTTTTATGTGACCACATAGAACTATTTATGTGTTTTATAACGGATTCATTGCGCAGTTTTACATTCTAGGAACAGAGTTGGGTTTTTTTAATTTAGCGTGTTCATTACACAAACCATAGGATGGAGGTTCTTATAAGGATGTGTGGAAAGATCTGATGAGCACAAGCAGTTTCCTTGAATTTACCACCCAGAGATAATCACGCTTAACTATGCTGTACATTCCGTCAGACCATCAGTGTACATACTGTGACTATAGCCTTCTACATGTGTTATGTTGTGTTACATTCTAGTCTGTTAGATGCCATTTCACTGGATAGAATATTGAGAGTGCTGGGGCTAGGACATTCCATCGTATATGGAGAACACTAGGACTCGGACATTCCATCGTATATGGAGAACACTAGGACTCGGACCGTTCCATCGTATATGGAGAACACTAAGACCAGGACATTCCATCATATATGGAGAACACTAGGACTCGGACGTTCCATCGTATATGGAGAACACTAGGACCAGGACATTCCATCAGTATATGGAGAACACTAGGACTCGGACGTTCTCATACCCGGGCCTTCTCGAATTTTAAGCAACTCAACTGAAAGATTTTTTCTTGCTTTATTTTATAAAACCTGAGGGAGGTGTACATAGAATTAATAGTTGATTTCTTTGACCCAGTTCCTTGTCATTTCCAAATGCTTGAATTCTGAAGTATTAAGAGAGAGAGAGACTTGATCTTTTTCAATGAAAAGATGATCAGATTATAACTCAGGTTATTAACTAGAGGGGAAAATAGCCTATTTAGTGCTTCCTGTCATCAGTGAGGAGCCCTAATATATGTGCTATTATTGCTAGAAATCTCCTGAGTGTGAAAACAGAAGTGAAGGTAAATGCCATGGATGATAACGTGTGTGTGTCATAGCTGAATGTATACGTAAAAGCTCGTATTTAAATCTCTATGTTCCTAACCATTACTCCAAGGATGTATGTTATTTAAACTATTTTGTATAAGCTGTGTCACTGTGTGCGTTTGCTTAAATTGTCTGTGCCCCCATGTATGCACACACACTGTACACACTTGCACACACTCATATTCAGACGTGCTCCATGCCTTGCTCATTGGTGACTGATACTAAGTGGGAGATTTCTACCAGAAAGCCTTTGGAGAAGGAAAATTAAACTGCTTTTGATGTGAAAAGTGATACTTCAGGGCACTGAAAAGTAACAGATCGCTAAGCTACTAAAGGATGGCTGCTTTCAACGATCTCATAAAGTTAGGGTTCACTTCAAATGGAAGGATGTATGTGCTGTTGTCAAAAACACTCTGAGGACACAAACTAATCGACTTTATGGCTCGGTAGGTCAGAGGATCCCCATCTGGGGTCAGGAAGTCCTCCTGACAGAGGGGTAGGCAGTAAGGTCTGCTGGGTACAGGACATCCGCAGGAGGCATGCTGGCACCACTGGCCAGAGGGGACACCAGATGCTGCTGCTGGTGTGTGTCAGAAACTTGACTGCAGAGTCAAGGCGTGTGCCTCGGCTGCGCCGCC